CAAATTTTTTGCTTCTGCCGGACGGTGGCCGGTGCATTTTTGCTCCATTTGTAGACTGGAAATAGTTTCGTCGCCCAGCTTCTGAGTTGAATGCATGGCGTGACCCTGTGAGCTGCGGATTGCATTTGGAATGTTTTTTCGACTGTGACCAACGTGCTGGTGTGGTGTGAATTGTAGATTCAGAAAATGGCACGATGCCTGTCGTGCAGTGTTTTTTGTGCCCGTATGTGATTAAAATTGATCGCGTGAGCAACTGCTGATCTGTTGGTGACTTCTGCTACCATCAATGATGAACTGCAATTCTAATACTGTGATAAACATTCTGTGTGTTTTTCGTTGGCACAGAAGCGGAGCAAAGATGGAGTGACCCGTTTGCTATGAAGCTGAAACTAAGACTACCAGGATACCAGACACACACCACACGCACGCACACAGACACACACTGCGGTTGGCATTTTATGCAGTTTGTACCACGCAACCGGGTCGCATTTTCCTCCGCTACGAGAGGCTAAGGCAACAGCAACTATTGTGTTAATGAGAGAGTTATTTCAGTCCATCACAGTGTATGCAGAAAAGGGATTCAGGGAACCACTATTCGTATTCGAAACGACCGCAACTATTCGGCCGAATACCGAATAGTTATTAGGTCCACTATTCGGCCCCGAAGCAAATACGAAGCGAATATTCGGTACAGCCCTTATAAATATCCGCTTCAAACCCAAGTCGTAGGTGTGGGAAGGCAAGTTTCTGGCCAGTTCCCCATGTCAGTGTGAATAAATGCCAAGCTTGTGTGTCAAAGCAACGTGTTCCCGTTGTCAATTTGAGTACAGAAGATACAAACGATATACTTCACAATTTATTGTTTGGCATTTTTGGATGTTTCTCGCTAGGCAAATGCTGCAGTGAATAACAACATAACATAACCCTTGACCCGTTAGGATCGTGGAGGTGCATTGATGGAAGCATTAGCATATTCTTCTTCTTTCTTCTTTGTGTTTACCAGCTGTACACTCTGGCGGAAAGTTCTGGTTGCTCGTCCATTACTGAACTGCAGTCCTGCTCCAGAACCTGAGTGTTGCGTGTGCATCAGTTTTACAGATCTCTTTCTCTTGAATACAGACTGTTGGTTCCTTGCCTCTCCGGCAGATGCACTCCGACTTCAAAGGAAGCTCCTCAATTAGTCGACTCTTACGACATGCTTTTAGGGAGGCAGTGGGTCTATTCTTATTTCCCCCACAATGGGGCCCCGGAACCCCCACGGGGGTCACCGCCCATCGCGCCCTACCTTTCAAATTCTGGTTACACTATAAACAAGGACGATGTCTTTCGTATACCTCAGACAGCAGCAGAATGCCTCGCTATATGGAGGCCACGAAAATAAGCAAGTTCGGTCTGGAATAAGGCAGACAAAATAAAATGGTCGTGAACCTCTGTTTGTCCTGGTTCGTTCGTTAGTTGAAAACAAAAATGCTAAAACTCCTTGACTCTTTCAGTCTGCTCCTGATTGAGCCGTGACTATATCAAGTCCTCGTTTGTGTGCTGACTCTAGGTCGTTTTGTTTTTTGGAGGCCTTTGGTTGTGCCTTGATTACCAATCTTTCTATTTGTCCTTTCCTTTTTGCCTGTGTGAGCTGCTACGCACTCTGTCCGTGATTGTTCCTTGGTTGCTTCCTTGTACACCACATCGAAATCGATAAGCTTGTCTCTGAGCTCCAACCACACGGCCCCTTTCAGGGTCCCACTTAAAATCTTTTTTGTGCTTTTATTTTTTTTTGCATCTTACATGTGTAAGTGCGTTTAGCGTTTGTTTGTTTGTTTGTTTGTTTGTTTGTTTGTTTGTTTGTTTGTTTGTTTGTTTTGCCTTCTTTTTTTTTTTTTTTTTTTTTTTTTTGGTTTGGTTTTTATTTTTTTGGCTTTTTTTTCAATTTTTTATCCAGTTTTATTCTGGCCATTTGTCCTGGTCAAGAGTATGTGTCTAATTTTATACGAAAACGCCGCTGGAACTATGTCGGTCACGCCCTTAGAATGGATAAATCAAGACTTCCTTACCAAGCCCTCATTTGGACACCACAGGGGAAAAGATCTTGTGGAAGACCAAGGGAAACCCTACGTAGAACTATCATCAGGGAAGGCTCGCTTATGGGCCACTCAAACATCCAAGACCTACAACGGATTGCAACGAACCGCTATGCATGGAGAGTCGCGACCTCTGCCCTATGTGCCGCACTCGACACAAGAGGAAAGACTAACTAAATTTGTCCTGGTAAAAACGGAAGTTACTCTATACTGTCGTCGAATCTGTGATTCGGTTTAAATGATTTTTGTTTTCTTCAACTTCATCAGTTGCTGCTGCAGTATGAACCTCCTGAGATCCAACAAGATACGCTACAAATACATTCTGCTGCAGTCTATTGTTCTTGTCTTCTTTGTTCAAAATCTTGTATGTAGCCACTAGCAAGCTCCTGTTTGCCACGCGGCAATCATTACAATGTTGTATCGCC